GAACGGCGCTACCTATCTCTTGCAATAGCAGAAATGCGCAAGTATCTCATCTAAATGGTGTAAACCGAACTGATGCACCTTGTCGCTCATAGGAACGTTTTTTAGAGCACTATTTTAACCTTAATATCAATAATAATACATTTAACACAACACTTAACAACACTAATTAATGCAAATTACAAATATTAACGTTAATTTTTAATTAATTGATTATTAAACCGGTAAAAAGTTAAGATTACATCTATACATCGCGGTTGCCGATGGCTGAATGACGCTGCGCACTGAAATGCTTGTAGCGACCTCACAATTATTGCTACATCTTTCTTTCTTTGCTCTTTATGACCAAGCCATAGAGAGCCATCTCTAGTACGTTTAAACTATCATGCAACAGTCGTGCCCGTGTTCAGTGTTAGATTTTTTGTTGTGTCATTGTGTGTGTGTATGTGTAATAACTGTGTACGGAGGAGTAATGCCTGTACTGAAACGGCTGAGACATTTTTTTTTTTTTTATTGAAATCTGTTATCCCAGGCATTAATGCTTGCATGTCTGGAAAGTATATACTGTACCTGGGATACTTATTATTGGATGGTGAATAATTTTTATCTTAATTTCTTGGAGAGTTTTTGGTTTTTTTTATGACATTAATTTTAACTGTCACTTGATAATTGTTTTATTCTATTTATTAAAATTTATTTTGAAGAGTTTTGATTATTTTTCTTAACAAATTAAGGCAAAAAAAATTGATATGTAGAAATTAAAAATTAAATTTTTTTTTTACAAATTTGGTGAAGACAATTAATGACATTAAATTTTGCTGTCACTTGACAATTTTTTAATTTTATTTAACAAAAAGATTTTTTCCAAAAAATTATTTTTAAAAAATTGCATTTTTTATTTTTTTGAAATTTCTAAATGTCAATTTTTTTTTAGCCAAAATTTTTTTAATTATTAAATATGTACTACATTAATTTTCATAGACAATTAATAAATTGTCAGGTTATACTAAATTTAGGAGATATTTGATAATCTTAAAAATTATAGCAAAAATTTGACATGTAAATTAAAAACAATTTTTTTAAAATAATTTTTTGGAAAAAAAAAATTAAAAAATTGTCAAGTGACAGCTTAATTTAATGAACGTTAATTTAGGAGATATGTGAACATTTTAAAAATTTTTGTAACAAATTATGGAGAAAAATTAAAATTAATTTTAGAAATGACACTGAAGTTAGCAGATGATTTTGATTTTTTTATTTTCCTTAATTTATTAAATTCTTACTAAAAAATATTTTTAAAGAATTGCACTTGAAATTTTTGAAGTTTTTAAAGAATGAAAAATTTTTTCTTTTATTTTTTTGTAATAATTTTTGATAAAAAAAATTTTTGATCTTTTTTATTAATTAAATTACAACTAAAAAAATATTTATAAAAAATTGCACTTATAGTTTTTCAAGTTTTTTACATGTGACAATTTTTTTTTTAATTGTTTAATTGAAATTTTTTCAATAAAAAATTTCTAGAAATTTTGTAATGTCGACTAACTTCATTTTCATTTTTAAAAAAATATTTTCTTGCTCTATTTTATTTGTTAAAAAAATTTCTAACGTCTGTCAACTTCATTGTCATTTTAATGATTTATTTTAGCTATCTTTTCAGGTACAAAAATTTTTGTTCCTGGCCTTAGACAACCATTAAATTTTTATGACTCTAAAAATAAAAATCTGATAATTTTTTAAACTAAAAAAAAATTTCATAAATGTCTTTTTTAATATTAATTAAAAATTTTATGAAATAAATAAATAGAGTGTCAATAAAAAATTTTTAAGTCCCTTTTAATACTCTAATTAAATAATTAATATTTCTTCTTTAATAATTAAATTAATACGTAAAGAATAAAAAATAAATAAATGTCCATATTCCTAAATTTGTTTCAGTGATACTTTTGATGAGAAAAAAGTATTAATAAGAGAAGAAAAAAAAAATCGGCAAAATTCAGGCATGCGCGAAGAAAAGATAAAGATAAGTAATGATAATAGAAAGAGAGAGAGAAATAGTTGTATGACGAGACCAATGAACGACACCGTGGATAGAATAAGAGTATATAAAAGAGGATAGCAAATAATGGAGTGAAGGAATATGCAGAGAGGAATGAGCCAGACAAAAAAAGAGTCCTACTGCGAACATAGTTGTAGTTTTGCTCGGTAGCCATCGGATAAGAGGAGAGGAGAGACGAATATCTGTATGCTAAAATAAAATACGTCGCTCAAAGTAGGTACGATATGTTTGAGAAGCTCTGATAGATGCTATGCACTTATTATATGTTATATGTTATCCCAAAGTTTAGAACTCATGCCAGCTGTATGCTGTATGACATCAGTACGGGGCTCAGAGAAATTTAATAGGATTTCATTCTTTTTTTCACATAGGTATAAAATTATTTGTTGTAACTGACTCACCTTTAAATGATACAATTTTTTATGTATTTCACAATTTTATTTATTTAATTAATTATTTATTTATTTAATTTTAATGCCAAGGCATTAAGCCGGATAGCAAATTGTATAATATACATAGATAATATTCAAATAAGTACAATAAATTTTGGAGTATTACTAAAATAAGGTAAAAGACCCAATTATTGACACTGGCTTAGTTGTATGACACTTACAATTTTATTCAAATTAAAAAAAAAAATAAAATGTTCTTTTTTAGTTGGCTTTTTTTTTTTTTAAGTTAAAATAAAATTGTAAGTGTCAATAACTGGGTCTTTTAGCTTATATAAAACAAATTGCATTAAAAAAAAAAAATGTACATTATATAATTATGTACATTATGGTATTATAGGAATTAAGTTATTAAATGCAATATTTTTTTTTTATCTCAGTATGTGAAATTTTATATTTATTCTTTGTCTTACATGTTAAAGGGCAGTTAAATTTATTTTAATTGCTATTTAAAATTCTTCGTGATTCTAACAATTAATTTAATGCAATAATTTAAGGTGTTACAAATTTTAGAGCATAATAATAAGTAACAGAGAAATTTTTTTCTGGTGAAAAAAAAAAGTTTTTTTTTAAAAAACAAAATTACTGCATAAAAATCAATTATAATTTTTCGATTAAAAAAATTGGAGTATATTAATTCAAAAGGTAAAAAAAAAACAAACAAATTAAATTATTTAAAATTTCTAAACTGAAAATTTTTTTTTAGAAAAATTTTTTTATAACTCCAAAATGATAAAATCAATTTTTTTTTAATTACTGATAGATAATATAATTGACAACAATCAGTAACTTAACAACAGTCGACAACTTGTGTTACAATACAAAATTTTTAAATTCGCTTTACCATCATGTGTCAATAAGGATCTTCTGACTTTAAGCCTTTAAATCGCATTACGGTAAGATAAACTTACAATATGTAAAAAATTGTATCATAAAAAAATTTTCGAAATGTTTTTGAGATTTTTAATGTGATTAAAAAAATTGCTGCAGCCAAAAAAAAAAATAAATTTTTGCTGTTCAAATCTGAAGTTTGAAAAAAACTTCTCAGTAATTTTAAAATTTTTTCTTATCAGTTTTTTTGATGCTGCAACATAACTGTTTTTTGTAGAAAAAGCAGCTAATACCTGCTTGAAACTGCAACAAGAAGATTATAAAAAAATTGAGCTCAAGAAGCTTACTCGAGTTTAAAGAGATGATATATGAGTTCTAAAGCGACTTCAAAGTAAACAATTTAATTACAAGGATATAAAAAATTGATAAAAAAAAACAAAATCAACCAAAAACGTCTAATTGAACGGCCTAAATGACAGAATAGCGAATCTTGTAATTAATTTAATGATTATGACTAAAATTAGCAGACATTTGAGAATTTTAAATTTTTTAAATAAAAAAAAACCATTTTTTAAAAATTACAATTGGAATTTTATGACATTAAAGTTAGCTATTACTTAACAATTTTTTAATTTTATTTAACAAAAAGATTTGTTCCAAAAAAATATTTTTAAAAAATTGCATTTTTTATTTTTTTTTTTTCAATTTCTGTCAATTTTTTTTTTCATTTTCTTTGACATAATTTATTTGTTAAAAAAATTTTTAAAATTATAAAATATTTGCTACATTAATTTTCATTAAATTTTCTACATATTAAATTTTTTAAAATAATTTTTTTTAATAAAAAAAATTTTTCGATGTCGACTAATTTAATTTTCATAATAATCTAAATAGTGATGTTAAATTTTAACGCATTCATTTTAAATACTAAAAAACACTTTTTTATTTATATTTAACTTCATAATATTTTATCATTTTTTTTTAATTAATTTTTTCAGCTAAATTTTTTTTATTAAAAAAAATAGGTCATAAGCGGAACACCTGAGCTTAGAAAATTATTATGAATTAAAAAAAATAAAATTGAGCTTTTTTAAGCTCAGTATTAATTCTTATATTAGAATTAAAAATATCCTTATATTTTTGTGAAGAAGAAATTAATTATTGATCTACTGTTTGATAAATTTTGCTTAAAAGACATAGAAAATTTTCTAAATTTCTATCCAGGTAAGCTTAATAATTTTAAAATATCTTCTAAAAGAAGAAAACACTTGACAAAAATTTTAAATTAAATTAAATGATAAAAATATCAATTATTAAGTGTCAAAGGTTTATTAAAATTAAATAGAGGATCTATCGGAGGATTTACTGTTTATTATTAAACAACTACAATATTATTCTCCTTAAAATATTTATTATTCACCCCGGTTGTTTATTAAAACTCTATAATTCTGCGCAAGTAACAGTTCGCGCAGACTCTACAGCATCACTAGGGATCCTTTTACTCAGTACCAAAACTCTTTCGAGTGAAAGCGGAGTTCCTGTAAGTTTAATTATCACTTTTAGTGTCTTTATCAATATTTCATTTTTTAATTTACGAATAGGGTAACAGGAAGAAGAAGTGAAGTATTTAAATAAATAAATTACTTGCAAATAAGTTATTCTAGATGGCCGATCACGACAATATGTATGATGACGAGGTATTTGTTTTTAATTTTAAAAAATTTTTCATTTTTAATTTTACCTGAAGCTCATTAAAATCAATGAGCAGCCATTTTAATTTTAAATTACATTTAATTCACAACTAAATTTTTAATTTAACATTAAAGAATATTAATGTGCAAGATTTTGAATTATTTCATTTAATTGTTTTATGATTTAATTAGCAAAATCGCTTAGATCCGAAAAAGCGCGTGTTTGAACTCGGTAATAAATAGAGCAACAAGGTTTCACAGTTTAACTGAGCACCCCACTGATTTTTTCTCTATCGATTGCACGAGAGTTTACAGCTACTGAAGCAATAGCTATTGTATAAATGCCATTAATTCTAAAGCTTGCAAAAAATTTTTAAATATTTTTATTTGTTCATTTTTTGATCTGATTTAATGTCAATTTAATTTTAATTAAAAAGTTAGATTTTAAAGCTTGCAAAATCTTGGATTTTTATATTTCTTCTTAGATATTTTGAATATAATTATGTGAAAAAAATTTAATCACTTTTATTGATTTTTAATAATGATTTTTTTTAATGGCTATACAGAAAAAAAAATTAAATAAACTGTAAGAAAGGTCATATTATTCTATTTAAAGACAGCTTATTAATATCACAGATTATATTTTTCATTTTTTATGTTTGACCGTTTTAAATAACTTCAATACTGATGTGCACATGTCGATTTATGATTTAATTTTTAAAATATTAGATTCTAAAAATTTTTTTGTTTTTAATTATATATGATCATATATGGCTCATTATATGATCATATATGATCTATGATCATATAGGGCAATATTTAAAATTGGCCGAAAATTTTTATATGACATTATATGATCTTCTTTTATTATATGTGACCATTTTAAACCATATATGATCATATATGGCTCATCATATGACCATATATGATCGTATGATCATGTAGGGCTATACTTAAAATTGACTGAAAATTATTATATTACCTTATATGGTCTTCTTTTTATTATGTGTGACCATTTTAAACCATATATGATCATATATGGCTCATCATATGATCATATAATCATGTATGATCGTATTTAAAATTGACCCAAAATTATTATATGACCCTCTATGAACTTCTTTTATATGTGACCATTTTAAAGCCATATATGGTCATATATAATTTTAATTGGATCATATATGTGTAAAAGCTATATATGATCATATGTGGCTCATCATATGATCATATAATCATATATGATCGTATGATCATATAGGGCTATACTCAAAATTGGCCGAAAATTATTGAATGATTTTATATGATCTTTTTTTATCATATGTAACCATTTTTAAGCCATATATGGTCATTTATGGCTTATATGATCATATGATCGCATATGGCTGTATTTAAAATTGAACCAAAATTATTATATGACCTTATATGAGCTTACATAATCTTTTTTTGTCATATGTAACCATCTTTAAGCCATGTATAGCTTATATGATCACATGATAGTATATGGCTGTATTTAAAATTGACCGAAAATTATTATATGAATTAAAAAAAAAATCTTACATACCTAAATAACTTGCAAAATTTGTTCCAAATCTATAAAAATTTTTTTTAACAAGATATTTAATGTAAGTGTTTTTTTATATTTAAAGATGTTTTTTTTTAACAAGATAGTTAATGTAAGAAAAACTTTTATTTCTTCACCGAAGAAATAAAATTGTTTAAAATTCTAAACAAATTAATTTCTTCTTACAAAATTGCTCATTTTTTTTAAAATAAATTTTTTCAGTGTAAGATAAAACCAATGTTTGAGGAAATAATTTATTTAAAAAAAAAAATTAGCAATTTTGTAGATTAAAAATTAATTTTTAAGAATTTTAAACGAATTAATTTCTAATTAAAAAATTGCTAATTTTTTTAAAAATAAATTTCTTCTTTAAGTGTAAAGAAAAATAAAAAAAAATTCATTGATAGGAACTGGTGTCAACAAATCCAAACCAACGAAATTGGCGAGGAATATTAATTGCATTGCTAGTAATAATAGCAGTCCTTGCATTAATAGTAACATCAGTGGTAGTTTTAACGCCTCCTGATGAAGGACCTCGTGTCCGCGGTGAACGATTACGCCTATCAGAAGTAAGAATATTTATTACAATCTGAAAAATTGAATGCTTAATATATCGATTCGTTCTATTTTAGATACTATCTGGAGAGTTATCTCCACTTCCGTTTAATGGCACCTGGGTAAGTAATCGTCATATCTGCTATCGTGATGCATGGGGCGGTATTTCATTATTAGATGCATCTAATCCTAACGGAACAGCCCGCAGTCTCATGCCAAATGAAACTTTCGTGAGTTTTTTTTCTTCACTTAATTTAATTAATTAAAAATTTTATTGCAAAATTAATAAATTAACTTGCGGATTTTTTTTAGCGTCGACTAAACCCGACAACATTTTCCCTTTCGTCGGATCATCGATATATTCTTCTAGCTCAGAATGTTGAAAAACTCTTTAGATTTACATACCTTGCACAGTACCTTATATACGACATCAATACTCGGTTAGTAAAGCATTAATTAAGTTTTGTACTCATCGATTGATTTTTTTCATTTAATTAATGATTGGTTTTTTTATACTCACGTCTAGAGACGTCATTCATCTAACGCCGAATCCAGAGAAATACATCCACCCTTATTTGTTACACGCACAATGGACTCCTCGAGGCCACGGGTTGATAATGGTTCACAACTATGATATTTATTACAAAACAAGTCCTACGTCTAATCTGGAATATCGAGTGACTAATACTGCTCTACCTGGGATTTTATCTAATGGATTACCGGATTGGCTTTATGAAGGTAATTGTTAAGATTTTTCCATTTTTACATGCTGAGAAAAAAAAATTAGAAAATTTTTAAGAAGAAATTTTTTTATTTCTTCAGCTGAAGAAATAAAATTTTAAACAAATTAATTCTTTATTACAAAATTAGTCAGTTTTTATTAAATGAATTTTTTTTAAAGAAAAAATTCATTTAAATAAAAAAGAAGCATTTTTTTTACATAAAAAATTAATTTGTTTAGAATTGAAAAAAAAAATTGACCAATTTTGTAATCTATATTATCAAGAGATTAAGCAAAATTTTGTGGCTAGTGTATTTATATGATAAAATGGGTTTCTATGGTTAAATTTGGAAACATTGGAAAAGTCTTGAATTTGTGCCTTTTCAAAGTTTCATATTATTCTCACCAGTAGTCAATTTATGATGATAATTAGGCTGCATTCAAAAATGCTGTTTCTAGATACATAATTAAGAAATGACCTTGCATCTAGTGAAATATTAACATTTTAAAAAATATAAACTCACCCCGAGATTATACTCATCGAAACCTTTCATTTGAGTACCCACATAAATTTTTCATATATTTTATATATTTATATATTCCGCAAATACCATATATATATAAAATATATAAAAAATTCCATGTAGGTACTCAAATGAAAGGTCTTGACGAGTGTAGCATCGAAATGAGTTTACATCTTAAAAAATGTCGATAATTAAGAAATGACCTTGTATTTTTGAGAACTATTGACATTTTTGAAGATATAAGCTCACCTCGACATTTTACTCATCAAGACCTTTCATTTGAGTACCCACATCAATTTTTCACATATTTTTTATATATATATATATATTATATATATGTATATATGAAAAATATATCCAAAATGCCGTGTAGGTACTCAAATGAAAGGTTTCAATGAGTGTAACACCAGGATGAGCTTATATCTTAAAAAATGTCAATAATTAAGAAATTACAATGTATCTTGAGAACTATTGACATTTTTAAAGATATAAGCTCACCCTGATATTGTACTCATCGAGACCTTTCATTTGAGTACCCACATCAATTTTTCATATATTTTATATATTTATATATTTCACAAATACCATATATATAAAATATATAAAAAATGCCATGTGGGTACTCAAATGAAAGGTCTCAATGAGTGTAATGTCAGGGTGAGCTTATATCTTTAAAAATGTCAATAGTTAACAAGA